ACAACAATAGAAAGGCCCATACCAAAGCCCAATCAAGCCCTCCTAGTCTTTACCGTCAAAAATGCCCTCCTCATCTTCCGTGAGTATATGTAGCTTATCTCAAACAAATCTCCCATGATTAGTGCTGCCATCCTGCTGCCCTTGCCTTGCGGTTGCGATTTCTCTCGACCAGATTCAAATTACAAACGTTGGCACCTCCTCCGCTCCTTGTTTATAAAATCTGGGTACTCCTAAGTCCTCCGAAGGTTGCTGCCGATTGCGCTTGGTGGATTAATCACACATGTCCAGTGAAATTGTCGCAGATCAAATTCTCAAGGTATATTCCCTGCAAAAAACTTTTCAATGTATATACACTTGGGTAAATCTGCTTTGTCTGATGTGGTAATGCATGTGATCATATGACAAATACGAATCTAATTAATCTTTTGCCTTATATTAGCTATAATTTCTATTGGAAAAATGAAGTGAAAAAAAATAATTTGTTCCCTTTCTAAGGACTTGCTTCAATTCTTAAACCCTACACATGGTGTAGGTGTACTAGAGCTAGATATACATTGGTAATTCTTGAACATGCGTACATCACTGTGTTTATAACTTTATATATATGCTAGACAAAATATAAACATGTAGCATCGTGGCGAGCGTTGTCTCTTTGCCCCCCCCCTCCCCCCCCATGCTCAAATCCTGGCTCCGCCCCTGATTGTCGAGTAACGCTACACCTACGTAGAGATTCTTATATACCTTACGTAATTGATGATTTGGCAGTTTTTAATTTGTCATTAGTTGGGGACACGGGCCCACCCTTGAAATAATGGGGCAGTTTGATTAGCATTTTAGCAAATTACGTAGGTTACATAAGTGCCGTCCGTAGATGTAGCATTATTCGTTGATTGTCCCTTGGTTCTTTAATTAAAAGTTCACGGTCATTGTGAAGTAAATAAAATATACGAACATATTACCTGAGAAGAATTAGGTTCCTCGGGAGTTTCTCAACCAACCTGGCCAGATGAATTGCACCCATGGCCTCGACGGCCAGGGCAACCACCTCTATTATTATAGTGATCTTCCCTAAAACGACGGTTGTGGGCAATTCAACGCTGCTCCCCCATCAATTTCTCCAAAACCCTAAAGGTCTGCAGGGTCATGGGGATGGTGTCGTCCTTGATGGTAGGAGTAGTTGGCATGCATGAATCGCCTCGATATCCTCTACGGGGTAGCACAACATCCCTGAATTGGTTAAGCTTGCCTTTTGGCTAATAACCATGCTGAAAGCCCCATACGTCGCCACGCTGTCCTAAGGATAACAAGGAATATCATCAAAGTGTTTTTTTTTTGGAAATGGAGGTGTATCTCCGGCCTCTGCATCGTAATGATGCATGCAAAGTATCATCAAGGTGTACATCATAGAAAGTCAATACCAACAATTAATGAAAAAAAATCACACATCATACTGTAGCACGCACATGGTACAATATGTTACAATACTACAAGTGTTAGGGTCCAACAGAATTAGTCCAACATATATATTTCCTCATGTTTTTTTACACCCAATATGATATACTTATAAACGAAGTTCAATACAACCACACAGTTGATCTCATTATGTCCAATCATATGGACCTCCAAGATGAAATAGAGGCATAAATCAAACCATATTGACGCATGAAACAATCTTTACAACAAGGCTTAATTAGGTTAGATCATCCTCATCGTCGTCATTCTCCTGTTTCTCCAGCTCATCCTTTGCCCTCAGCAGCAGTATCGTTCTCCAAGGATCCACACGTGTCACGACGTCGAATTCCCTGACGGCATCGGTAAATCTGGCGACATCTCCGTAGTCCATTGATGCAGCAAGATCAGCTAAAAGTTTGTGTTCACGAGTTCCCCAGAAAGTCGGATCGATTTCCTGGTACCGCGCAAACGACTTTTGCATAGCGACACCATCGGCTATGCATAGCTGGCAGATGCCTGCATTGAGGAGGACGGCTCTCACGCTATACTTCAGCAGCTTGCTCTTGATTGATTGACGAGCAATCTCTTCAAAAATCTCGGCTGCCTTCGGGTACCGCCCCAGCTTCGCGGCGATCTCCGCGATTTCATGCTTGATGGCGTTCGACTGACACGTCTGCCCCTCGTCGTCGAACAGATCGGCGGCCCTCTCTAGGTAATCTGAAGCCATCGCCAGATCCTTTTCTTGCTGATATATCACACCAGCGTCCCTGCAGTATCTTGCGGCCATGGCCAGCCTGCGGACTTCCAGGAAGAGAACGACGGCCTGGTCCAGCGCTCGCGCGGCTTCATGGGGCGAGAACTTCTTGTAGCAGTTTGCGGCGTCCGCATAGGCCGAGGCGGCTTCGTCCTTGCTATCGAGCTTCAGATGGCAGTTGGCGATCTTGGTGTACACGGATGCGGCTCTGCTCCAGCTCTTTGCGAGCTTGAAGAAGGTTGCGGCCCCGTAGTAGAGATCGGCGGCGGCGTCGTACTGGGAGCCGAAGAGCCCCCAGCCGGAGAGCTTCTTGTCCGCCTTCCTCTCCATGTCGTCCCCGTGCGCCTCGTGGTCTCCCTCTCCCATCGCTACCGCTGCTCCGTTGGCTTGTGTCGGCGGCGGATGTTGATCTCTTTTTTGTTTTTTGAACTTGTATATCGATCTCTTTATGTACTGTATACAATATAGAGGTTGCTTCAACAACCTATCTCCGGCATCCGTGATCTGACACGGCAATAAAGTCGTGCCATGTACGAATTGCTTTTTTTTTTCAAACATCAGTACAGACACAAACGCTCATATACACGCGCATACACTCATCCTTATAAAGGCATACACGCACACCCTACCCCTATGAGCACCTCCGAAAGACTGAGCCGGCATATCATCTTGAGATTTATGAAGTCACCGTAGGCGCCTCGTCGTCGACGGGAACATCTCCTCCCACTGAATGCGCATCGTCGGAAATCCTAAAATAAATCCAGAAATAAATGCGAGCATCAGGATTTAAACCCTAGTGAATTGGGGATACCACAGTCCCTCTAACCATCCAACCACCGGTTGGTTCGCGCACGTACGAATTGCTAATACTACAGCTTCGATGGAGATATTTTGATGCACAAAAAAAAAGATATTTCGCCATGTAAATCTGAACTTTTTAAACATTATTACAGTTTTGCTAAAGCACATCTAAGTCCTTTGTCATTAATTTTACACGGAGATTCGAGCAAACATTTTCTTTTATCTTTTTTCTTTTCCTTCCTACTTTGATTGGGCCACTTAGATGTGAAATAATTAGGACACAACTTATGCGGCTGGGTTAAAAAGAATCTTAAAACAAAGGCTAGGGTTCCTGCCTCTCGCCGGTGCAGGCGCAGGGCCGCCTAGTCTCCGGTGGCCCTGGGGCCATGGGGGCATGGTGGATCCTGACAAGGACCGGCTGAAGGGCTTCGTTTCTAGTCATTTCGTTCAGTTTTGTTAGGGTTTATGTCCTGATCAGGAATGCGAGACTGCGGCGGCTCCCTGAAGATGGAATAAAGGTCTCTCCACCTAGCCCCTGTTCCGACGGTGCGTCTAGTATTGTTGGTGAGCGTGAGATGGTGTGTCTGCGGTGGATCTATCTTTAGTGGATTTGCTCGGATCTCGTCGTTGTTTGTGTAAGTTCGTGTGTTTTCGGTTTGGATCCTTCCTATCTATGTTATTTTCATCGACGGCGGTTGCTGTTCTGGTGTGCTGATTCTATGGGGCCTTAACACGACGACTTCCTGACTGTCTACTGCAACAAATTGTGCCCGACTTCGGTGATGGAGGGACGACAACGACGGCGCGCCTTCGGCTCGCTTCAGTGTTTGTAGTCGTCGCTAAGTGTTCTACGAATCTTGATGTAATTTTTATCATTTCTGATGTTCGTTATACTGTCATGATTGAAGATGAATAGATCCGAAGTTTTCTAAAAAAATCTATCTTAAAACACATTTAATTGTACAGTATTATTATCTGACGAACGTCAGCTGGAAAGGAATGGTGAGCCAACGTTTTTTATGGCAAGTTTATGTGATGAGAGATGATAATTTTGTTTGCAGCAATTCTTTTCTTCTTTTTAAAAGTTGCCATGTGTTTGTAAAAATTATCATCCTCCCACAATGTAAACTGCCAGCCAAAACGTTCGCAATTGTCACCCTTTCCCAGCTGACGATTGCTAGATAAGAAGGTCCTAATTTTATTCCATACCTCCAAGTTGGATACATGTATTTGGATTTTTTCCCCCGCTATACAGTGGACGGTTTTTTTGCATGTCACGTATTTTTTCGTACAGCGCAATACAGGTGGATATGTGAAACCCTTCGATACTATTGGCGAGCAAAAACTACATGGACGCACTAGACTTTTGTTTTGAGCACGAGTACAGACACGAGCGTTCATATACATGTACATACACTCATCTCTATGAACGCATACACGCACACCCTACCCTTATGAGCATCTCCGAGAGACTGAGCCGAGATATCATCTTGAGATTTATGAAGCCACCGTATGCGCCTCGTCGTCGACAGAAACGTCTCCTTTCACTGAAAGCGCATTGCCAGAAATCCTGAAATAAATTCAGGAATAATGCGAGCACCAGGATTTGAACCTGGTGGGTTGGGGATACTACTGTCCACCTAGCCATCTCAACCACAGGTTGGTTCGCTGGTCGCACTAGAATTGAGAAAAACCCTTTAACGTAGAACACATTTTCTTCACAAATTAAAGAATATCCCAAGTAAATACTTTGGCGGACACCACAATAACAAAGCGGTCGTAGCAACTAGCAAAGGGCTAGCGATTTTTTGGTGGTGGGGGATTTCCGACCAATAAACCTAGTGCACGGGGCCATCAATATATTTGAGAAAGTGCTCGCTTGTCGGTTGCTGGAGGATCTACCTAAGCTAGTTGGCAACCATCAAAGTGCGTTTGTGAAGGGCAGATCATTGCATGATAACTTCATGCTTGTCCAGAGCATGGCACAGAGGCTGCACGCTTTGAAGAGTTCAACTGTGCTGCTCAAGCTTGACATATCAAAAGCCTTTGACTCGGTGCAATGGCCGTTCCTTCTTGAGGTTTTGCACCAGATGGGCTTCGGGCCGAGGTGGAGATCTTGGATATGCGGGATTCTTGCAACATCGACCACCAAGATCATGGTGAATGGAGATCTAGGTGACACGATCTATAACTGTAAAGGGCTGCGGCAAGGTGATCCCATCTCACCTATGCTTTTCGTCCTAACTATGGAGCCCCTACAAAAGATGTTCGAGGTGGCTATGAGTAGAGGCGTGCTGTCACCTCTAACGTAGGAAGGCATGAGAAAGTGCCTGTCCATCTTTACGGATGATGTAGTACTGTTCGTCAAGCCCAATCCGCTGGATCTCGAAGTCTGCAAGTGCATTTTCGAGCTGTTTGGTGAGGCGACAGGGCTGAGAATCAACATGCGCAAATCTGCAGCCTTACCTATCATGGTGCTCTGAGGATGAGATAGCTATGGCATGCAGCGAGCTTGAGTGTCCCTTGGGATCGTTTCCGACAACTACCTTGGGTTACCACTATCGTTAAGGAAGCAAGCTGCAACACAGTTATAGTACTTGGTGGAGCATATGGCAAATAGGCTACCAAAGTGGAAGGCAACACTTATGCAAAGAGTGGCCACCTAACTCTGGTTCAGTCCGTGCTTTGCGCCATGCCAATACATGCTATGATGGTGTTAGATCTCCCTATGAAAACTATCGCAACAATGAACATGATTTACAGAGGCTTCTTGTGGTGTAGGAGAGTGGAAGGGAATGGAGGCAACTGCGCGGTTGCATGGGACATGGTTTGTACGCCCAAGTGGGCAGGTGGTTTGGGGCTGCCAAATCTAAGATGGATGAACATCGCCATGCAGGCCCGTTGGCCATAGCTCAAAAGGAAAGATGAGTCAAGGTCGTGGAGTGAGTTCCGAATAAAAGTTGCGGATGATGCACAATTGTTGTGCCAGGTAGCTATGAGGAGTACAACGTGGTCGGGCCGCACAACACTCTTTTGGGAAGATAGATGGTTAGATGACCTGAGAGTTTAGGAGATTGCACCGCATGTGTATGACCTAGTGCCACCTAGAACACCCAAGACGAGATTGGTCTGTTCGGCCATGGAGAGTGGATCTTGGGCGATGGATTTCATGTAGGGGAACGTAGCATGCAATTTCAAAAAAATTCCTACGATCACGCAAGATCTATGTAGGAGATGCATAGCAACGAGAGGCGGTGAGTGTGTCCACGTACCCTCGTAGACCGAAAGCGGAAGCGTTATGTTAATGCGGTTGATGTAGTCGAACGTCTTCACGATTCAATCGATCCAAGTACCGAACGTACGGCATCACCGTGTTCAGCACATGTTCAGATCGATGACGTCCCTCGAACTCTTGATCCAGTAGAGGGTCCAGGGAGAGTTCTGTCAGCACAACGGTGTGGCGCTGGTGTTGGTGATGTGATCTGCGCAGGGCTTCGCCTAAGCACTATGACGCTATGACCGCAGGCGTAAACTATGGAGGGGGGCACTGCACACAGCTAAGGGAATCTTAATGTGCCTTGGTGACCCCCGCCCCCGTATATAAAGGGGGGAGGAGGAGGCCGGCGGCCAAGGAGGGGCGCGCCAAGGGGGGAGCCCTACTTGGACTCCCAGTCCAAGTAGGATTCGACCCCCTCCTTCCTTCCAACGGAGGGGGAAAGAGGAAAGAGGTGGAGAGGGAGAAGGAAAGGGGGGTCGCGCCCCCACCCCTTGTCCAATTCGGATTGGGCTTGGGGGGGGGGGGGGTGGGGGGGCACCTCCTGTGGCTGCCTCCTCCTCTCCACTATGGCCCATGAGGCCCATTAACTTTCCCGGCGGGTTCCGGTAACCTCCCGGTACTCCGAAAAATCCCCGATCTTCTTCGAAATCATTCCGGTGTCCGTATATAACCTTCCAATATATGAATCTTTACCTCCCGACCATTTCGAGACTGCTCGTCATGTCCGTGATCTCATCCGGGACTCCGAACAAAACTACGGTCACCAAAACACATAACTCATAATACAAATCGTCATCAAACGTTAAGCGTGCGGACCCTACGGGTTCGAGAACTATGTATACATGACCGAGACACATCTCCGGTCAATAACCAATAGCGGAACCTGGATGCTCATATTGGCTCCTACATATTCTACGAAGATCTTTATCGGTCAAACCGCATAACAACATACGTTGTTCCCTTTGTCATCGGTATGTTACTTGTCCGAGATTGATCGTCGGTATTATCATACCTAGTTCAATATCGTTACCGGCAAGTCTCTTTACTCGTTCCGTAATGCATCATCCCGCAACTAACTCATTAGTCACATTGCTTGCAAGGCTTATAGTGATGTGCATTACCGAGAGGGCCCAGAGATATCTCTCCGATACACAGAGTGACAAATCCTAATCTTGATCTATGCCAACCCAACAAACACCTTCGGATACACCTATAGAGCATCTTTCTAATCACCCAGTTATGTTGTGACATTTGATAGCACAAAAGGTGTTCCTCCGGTATTCGGGAG